TATATATATGTATATATATATTTATATATATATGTATTTATATATTTATATATATATGTATTTATATATATATAAAATTACAATTTTACTTCAATTATAGGTATATACACATCTAATTGCAATTTGGAAGTTCTTCGAACGAAACTTTACAATATATTGATTATACTTGAGAAATAGAAATTATGTTTTCACATAATTACGTGCTATTTCTTCAACTCGACATATCAGAGAAAAAATTGTTGAATACTATTGCTATAATAATCTATTCAAAGAAAGATTCAACATTTTCAGTACAGTACGTGAAAGGATATTCTTGTGTCTATTGAAATGGTATTTTCAAAGGTAGAATCAATTTAGATTTTCTCCAATTCGAGTAATACGCTCGTGAAAAAATAAACACACGTTTTCATTGTAATTACATTGTATTCTTTTCATTCGAATAAGATATATATCTAATGACTGGAAATTCTATTAAAACATTTCAAAGAAACTCTAACAATCTCCGCTTATAATCAATAAGACGCATCATGACAATTATAAAGTGGCAACTTTATGGCAAGTATCAACTGTTAAGATTTTACAACGTCGAACAGAAATTCTTGCAAACGACAAACGTCCGAGACACGCGTCTCTTTGCGAAGCATAAACAGTTTAATGGGCTTTTAATTATTCCAGGCAGGCGATTGTAGAAGTGAACCACCCAGTAAAGAGTCCATTGCTCGAAGCATGATTGCACGTACTATTGTGTCAGCAGTCGAACGGAACCAACAGGATACCCGACACGCGTCTAGAATTTTTTCTCTTTTCTTCGCCATAGTTGGCCAGCTGTCAGTACACGCTGAGTCTCCTTACTTGACTTTCTCGCAAAACAGTCTTTCATCCCATCAGAAATATATCATTTGAATTTCAAAATGAGCGAATGCTTGTAACTAATCTACGGACATTCACGTAAGTTGATGTTTTCGTGATTTATATTTATACTTAAGCCGATGAACAGCAATAGCTATTTACATTACTTACTATCTTCTCTCCCCTTCGTTTTTTTGTGATTTTCATACCACTTATATAATTTTTCCTGTCATATCAATACAATTATTATAAAAATTATAACGAGTCAAAATAAAATAATCCTCGGTAGTCTAAAAATAGTCTAATCATAACAAAATATCTGATGTTTGTTTTAAGTTCAATTTTTCTATGTGTACTTTCATGCATCTTTTGAAACGCATGCATTTCGACCAATCGATCGATTGCGAGAGAATACTCGTATCGCCATCTAGCGACATTTATGTATATAGTTTTCATAACAACAGTGAAGCTGATTACAATGTTCGTCGAAAGAACGCAATATGTTTGAATGAGAATAAAATTGATCGTGCAAAGTTAGTATTAACGTGTCCTAGTTTATAAATACGTATCAACAAACGTGAGTACCAAGAATAACATTTAATTCGAAACATAAATGTCATTAATTATAATCAACGACATACACCCACGCCTTATAAATGCGTAATCTCTTTGTTCTGCAATTTCTACTAAAAACTATCGTATAAAATACTTGTAATGTTCGAATGTTATTAATAAGTAAATGCAAAAAGTTGGCCTAAATAGAAATAATTTTTACATCTCATTAAATGTAAAGATACAAAATATAAGTACTATTTTTTAATTTTTTCTTAATTTGAGAAAAGATGTGTATCATTTTATAATGACATATTACCGTGTTTTCAACTTTGTTTCATTTAATTTCTTTTTAGTAGTAAATTTTTTTTCAAACAAATTAAAAAAAAATAAATGTGTAAGTTTATTAATTTATTGCAATAATATCTTTCTAAAAAAGAGTAACTTACCTATTGCTCGTGAGACACCTAACACTCCATTAACCCTCATAGTTCCCATGCTCTGCATCACTATTCCTCCCATTTTCCGTATTCTTTGCACTTCATCCTAGTAAAAAAAAATCAATATTGTTTGCACATTCGATCATAAATCTTTTACAAAACACATTGTACTTATCAAATGTCAGTTGTTTTTTAAACAAAGAAAACAAAATAAAACCCAACTTAAAATTTGCTGTCACATTATACTAAAATATATTAAAATATAAATGTCAATGTTTTTTATTGTTAAAATTATAAATTGAATAAATAACATTAAATATGACAGAGGTAGGAACACAAATAGATAGTGATAGAAGATTATTACAATTTGAAACTTATGAAGACTATTTGGATTCTCTAATAACATTTGTCGATCTTGGGTATTTAGGAAATCTTAATGTTGCACACAGATTAGCTGAACTTGGTTATCGTTGTACGGGTGAAACACTAGATGAAGATACATTTTATCGTCGTTTGAAAGCTGTAAAAAATTTATTCTTCCCAATTTATAGACCATACGTATTAACGTCAGAATATGTGACACCAAGTGATAATGTAATGCAAGAATTAGCACTCAGAGAACGTCTAAATAGATTGAAAATCATATCCACTATTATCTTCATAAGAAATTTAACCAAACTACAGTTTGAAATTTCTGGTTACATAGACTTTAGCGAAAGACTTGAAAGAGAAAATTGGCTTCCATATTTCCAAGGAAGAAAAAAAGTATGGCCTTGTGCATCTGACCTCGCATATTATCACTGGAGAACAGGAAAGACATGTTTAAATGAAACATCAAATTTTCAACCAGTTATAGACCCAACACTGGGTCTTCGATTCAAACACTGTCACGACAGACATTTCATTAATGTCGATCCTGGTCTGCCTTCTCCAGGCATATATACAACACGAGTAAGAATACGCAGTCAAGAATATGAACATGTAATATTATATGATCATGTCCTTCGGAGCAGATGTTAAACATTTAATGAAAATATTTAGACTTACTTCACGATGAAGCCGATGAGGATTCACTAACTGAACAACATTATCGCGTTTTACTAGCATTGCTGTTGAATCTCCTACCCAAGCAACATATAATCTCTTATTTAATATTAAAGTGCAAACTGCAGTAGTTCCACCGCAAAGTTTCTGAAACGATAAAAATAATAAAAATAAAACTAATAGATTGTATATTTGTTTGAATAATACATTACTATACATATAAACATTCTGTTTCTTACCTGTGTTTGTGATTTCTCTATAAACTGTCTGTCAGTAGTAAGAAAAGCATCGCGTAAGGCACGCTCTGGATCTGTAGGATAATATATGCTTTCTGCTAAATACTGATGCAGATGAGAAGCACAATATACAGCTGCATCTTGTCCTGCATGTCCATCAAATACTGCATAATAATTTGCTATAGAATCATCCTAAAATTTGAAACGTTTCTTTGATAAAAGAATTACCATTTATACATCTAATAGGAAAAGTTTAATCTTTATATGTACCTCAATACCAAATATACTATGTAAGTCATGTAGAACCACATAGCGGTCTTCCATTTTTCTTCTGCAATTTTTGCTTCCTCCTGCTGCTATCTGTGGTAACGGTGTAGAAGGAGGAGGTGGCAATAACGCTAATCTACTATTGTCCAGGTAGCGAGTACATATTTCATTGACTTTACCAGTAATAGCTTGCATCAATTTTAATGAAGTATATGCTACAATGTAATAAGAACTTATTGAAAGCTATTTCTATTAATAAAAAATAAAAAAACATACTTTTTTCTTGAGATTTAAATCCACAATCTTCTGGTTGTTTTTTGCACACGGATTTGATTTCTTGTATTACTTGATGAACCAAGTGTGCTTGTAAACTTGCCGGACATTGTCTAGAATGTTATAAAATTCTTTCTTTAGATATATAATTAGTTTTTAAACACAAAATCAATTATTTTATACTTGAAAAAAAGATTATCTATTTAAAGAATAAATATCCCTGAACATAGAAAGATAGAATAGAAAAAATAATTGAAGCAGTAATTAGTAAACTGACGGTACTAAATATACGAAATTTTCAATTAATAAAACTTAAAAAATTATTTTTTTCTACAGAAAATATACTACCATGCGGTAACCATGGATTTTTCGTTCCGAAATTCTTTAAATCGTAAGAATAACAATTATTCATAATTTATTCTAAAAATAATTTTATATTAATCGTTCACAAATTTGTTCACAACATGTTTTAACTTTTCCTATATTTTAATGATCTTAATTATTTGATTAATTATAGAAATTTTCAGTATGTTTAACTACTGAACATTACACACATGTAGATTAAAGTATCGTGTATACAAAATGTGCATGTAGTGGCAATTTTTATCTTATATAACTGGAGGTTATATATCTATATGTGTATGTAAAATTTAACATACAGTAATGTATTAATTTTTATCCAATTAACTAGCTTTTATCCAACTAGTTCATATTTAAATAAAGAAACAAGAATGTTGAAATGTTGTTATAGCTTAACATATTGCAATGATTTTAAATTTTATTGTTTCATAATATATTTAATTTAATTGATATTTCTTTACAGTGTCATTGAAAGTTGTTTCATCATTTTTAGATATTAACAATACTTGTAGATAACTTCTATGATCTTTATATTTACATTCATACAAATTTAAAGAAGGAAAAGAAATTATGATTGAATTGCTCAATTTGTAAAAAGTAGTAAGTTTATATCGAATGACTTGGCTAATATTCCAAGTTTCCTAAATAATATATAATCATCCTCTCTTTTGTACTTTTTGTCCTTCCCACTTTTAATCATCTGAAATGATTACTGATTACTGATATCTATTACTTCTATAATTATCTGTTGAAATTACTTTTATAATTATCAACACTGTTCTTATTACTCTTATTAAAATACAAGTTTGTAAAACGATATTAGGTAGAAGTAGCTCCATACCTTATCTATTATGTGATACATCATTTTATTTCATCTAATCCAAAGATGATGGTAATTTATTGTATTAAAGAAAAATAATAATAAATTGATCACTTTGAATAGTTTACTTGTTTAGAGATATATAAATAGATATATAGATAGATAGTTGAGATATGTAGATAGATAAATAGAGCTTGAAAAAATGATATCTGCCATATCATGTAGCGTATCGTTTAGATATGAGAAATCTATGGAGAGGAGAAGTAACTCTCAAGCGGCATTTGCCTCAAGAACAAGGAACTTACGCTTTGCATGAGCATATTGTCAAAATCCTAGAAAACAGTGAGAGCGAGGAGACAACTGTCTCGAACGTATTAAAATCAAAATCTTTTCAACTAGTCCATAGTGACACGTTTCAACAGGAAAATTCGCTACAGCCTGTGAGGAAGCACCTCCTACCATTAACAAATCCATCGTCTCCGGAGCATTACCGACAGAGGAGAGAAATGACATCGATCGTCGGTACTTATCAACATGAAAGCAATGAAAATCTCGACGAGTATTTCAAAGCTGTGGGTATGTTAAAAGCGACTAAAAACGAATGTCATCTACCTTACGATGGAAGCAAAAGCAAATACGACGTGTGAAAAACAATTCTCTACCTTGTTCTCGAAAAATTTGGAAACGTAAACTTCACTTGTACACTCGCAATATATTAATTCGCCGATGTTCTATCAATTGAAAGATGGAAAATTTTTATTTTGATTAACACATGGTCATACGCGCGCGCGTATGTACATATATGTATTTTATAATTACATGTTTACCGAATGCTTCGTTTATCGAATAAAGGATTAAAACAAGTAATCTCTAGTGGATTATTTATCGTGAAATAAACACACTGTCGAGTCGTGTCTCGAATAATGTTACTCCTTGTATAAATAAAAGCTAATAGAGTCACGGGAAGACAGAATCTCTTGCACGTGATTAGTGCCTAAATCTAAGCATAATGCATAATAGAATTACATGTAATACATGTGAAGAATTCGGAGTTAAATCGATTTTGTTTTCAATTGTATGCATACATATATAGGTGTACCGTATATTCCACGGAAAATTATGTGCATGTCCAGTCCGCGACTAGAAATATCAAACGACGGCGATAAATGGACCATTCGTACCATTACGATGATTCGCACGGCAGAAGTGACGTTTACTCTCGGCGAAGAATATGAAGAACATATGCCCGCCGGAGTTGTGCTGAAAGTATAATTGCTCTTTTCATAATATATCTTTCATAATGGATCGATCTTCGTTTTAATTTAATCAAAATAACAAGCACTATTATTTGCTATTATGATGATACAGATCAGTCGTATACATGTATTTTGTTTTTAAATAAATGGTATTTAAATGAATTAAAAAATTATTTGAAATTTGTTATCATGTATTTTTAACAAGCGGTATTAATTTGCGAAGGATTAAAAATTGATTTGTTTTCTGTACGTATAACTTTTAAAAAAAGGATATATTTCTCAGTTTTTATCGTTTGTACTTCTGTCTGCTTAGAATGTAACTACAATGGAAGGAGATAATCTAGTGACGGTCTCAGTCGGTCCAGATAACAACAAAGTAGTGCGGAAGTACGAAATTACAAAGGATGGTATAGCCTTGGTACGTTTCATTTATGTACTTAAATACATATGTAAATATATATCTATGCAAGCTTTTACCCAAAATTTCTTTTAACACGGAAGAGATAGAAATTCTGCACAACTGATTTTTTATTATTATTCAGATGTTAAATGAATTCAGAATTTTCATTATTATTCAGATTAACACTAGACGTACCAAGCGGGGTCAAATGGCCCCTTTTCAAAATTTACTTCAAATAAAAATATATGTTTGAGTATTTTACTAGAAATCAGAAGTTGTTGCAAATTATTTCCTTTAATAAATTAAAAATTTCTTTCTAAAAATCAATGTTTGTTTATTCATAAGGGATCAAATGACCCCTTTCCAAACTTTACTTTAAATAAAAATATATGTTTGAGTATTTTATTAGAAATCAGAAGTTATGTTGCAAATTGTTTCCTTTAATAAATTAAAAATTTCTTTCTAAAAATCAACGTTTATTCATAAGGGGTTCTTATGGTAAGATAGGTATATGTAAAATGGTACGTTTAGTGTTATATAATTATTTTTCAAAATTTACTTCAAATAAAAATATATGTTTGAGTATTTTATTAGAAATCAGAAGTTATGTTGCAAATTGTTTCCTTTAATAAATTAAAAATTTCTTTCTAAAAATCAACGTTTATTCATAAGGGGTAACCCCTTATGGTAAGGTAGGTATGTAAAATGCCGGTACGTTTAGTGTTAATAATTTTATATCATACAATATAACATTTCAATCTTTAAATCTCCAAAACGTATTTAACACGATTATAAATAAATCTTGAAGAATTCTTAGTATGCAGTATAGAGATAAATGACAGCAGATTTTAAAATTGTATTCTTTATTTTCAGGTAATGACTCACGAAACGAGTGGCCAAGTAGGAAAACGTTATTTCAAGCGTCTTTCGTAAACCATAATTGCAATTTACACTGTAAGATGCTTTTACATTTCCATTACGTACGATTTAATTTCAAATCGTCTCGTACACGTTTTATTGTAACAGGAAAAGACTATTATAAAAAAAAAAAAAAAAAGCGAGAGTTTTCGCATGGAAAATGCGTACAGTTACAGGAGCGAAAAATTTGCCGGATCAATCGTAAACCTTCCTATCGTCGTTCCAGCATGCGCCCTGCCTATCTGCTCTATGTCACGTATTGCACAATGTATTGTACGAAACCTGGATAAACGAAAATCGCATTACCAATTACAAATAAACAACTAAAATCTTATATGTGAAAGACGACTTTCAGTTGTACTCTATATGTACAGATACATGTATTTATTATGTATTATATATTTAATATATGTATGCATTCGAAGTTATTAAAATATATCGTTCGTGAAAATATTTCGATACTTAATCGAAGTTGATATTAAAATCTTTCGTGAATATACCATGTGCGTTATGACATCGGTAGATTATAAATATATTTTTGTAATTTGTTTCAAACTTTAGTAACATGATGAAATTTCGGAAAGTTTGACGAGCGAGTACGCAGGATGTTCCCAATCATTATGATGTAACTGAAAAGGGGGCGTGAAAGAATAGAAGTTAAAAATATTCGTACGGAAGAATAGAGCTTAAACTCTGGAGAAATCTTCAAATTCAATGTTTCTTAGGGACGAACCTTTAAATAAAAAAAATTAGACTTTTTCAAGGATGTTGAATCAGCCCTTTTCCAGTTATAGCTTGATAAATGATGGATGATACTGGAACACCCTGCACGTATATAGTTTATGTTTACACTCGACGCCGGCCGCCATGGAAGCTATCAACGAATAAACACGTCTTATGTCTGCCTACGCAACGGCATGCTGTAATATCGTTCATTTAAAAAGTACATTCACTTACGTTTGGTTGAGATACTGTAGAGTCACGTTGATGATTTCACCGACGATCTCAGCTTCGGTCACGTTGTACGAGCTTACCGAAACAGGCAGCTGATCGTACGGGTTTACTTTAGCGACGAATTCGGAGAAAAAACGGCTGTATGCGCCGAGATAATCACCATCGGGGCAATCCTCCGCCATTCTTTTTCCTCTTGGTTAAAAATTATTTGATCCAAATTACCGAGTCACACTTTCGTCAGGGCGCGAAGACCACGATACAAGACCACTACGTTGATTACGTTTACCGAGACGTTAATGCCGATACCTAGATAGCTATTTCCTTCTTGCCAGGTGAAGTCGAATTAATCCACATGAAGATACAAATACGAAAGGAAGAGCAGTAAAAAGATAGCAAAAATATGTGCGTATATTTGGACGTTTTTATCCTCTGTTCCAAAGCTAGACGATATTTGTTGATAGGCGATATTTGTATTTAGGTTACATCTCTCATTCAACATCGCGTACGTACATAACACTACGAGCCCGATCGAACAACGCGTTTCTCTATTGTGCGTTCCTTGAAGAAGTGGGGAGGATTTGCCGCGACGTTCAAACACTATCTCTCCCGTTTCTTTCACAATCAGTCCAGCGTTGCTTTTTTGTCTTTCCTCTTTTGCCACTGGCCACTTGCGGATTGACTCTCATAACGGAAGAAAAAGTTCGTAACGGAATTCACCGCCGAGTCACCTACTGCGCATGCCCGACACGGATCTCTGCATTTACCATTTCGCCCGCGTATACTAGTGCAACATGTATGTCTTTCTTCTATGTAATTATTGTCTTATTTCCTCTCTTGTCTAATTATTATCTTCTTTCCGATTTGTAACTTCAATATCATTCTCAGTATTTCTTTTTATTTCATATGAATTTTTTTTTTCTCCTATAATTTATATTACAATGTAATTTGAATGAAAAGTGTTAGAGCATTATTCAAATTTGTATGGAAAACAATATGCATCATTAACATTAGGAAGATATATATGAAATAATATTATGAAATACAATATAATATTAATGTAATATGTAAAAAATAGTATAATGTACACTGTATGATAATGTATTCAAAAATTATATTAAAAATAAAATTTTATGTCAATCTCTTTTTTTCTTCCTTCAGGAAATTTTATTTTATTAACTTTTTAATAAAATTTCTTTATCATACATGTGGCTACATTTGTAACAAACTTATAATAATAGAAAATCTGTCAGTGTTGATAAATATAAAAAATATGATCAAATAAATTTTTTATTGCAAAAATATTCACATTTCATACAAAATGTTCCACTCAAACAGTTGAATTTTAATTAAACAACTGAAATTTCAAAATCTTTATTTCTTGGTATTGTATAGTATTTAAAAATCTACAATGTTAAATGAATTAAATTGTTCTTACATTATGATACAAATTCTTCTATCTGCTATTTCATTTTTTGTTTCCTTTAATTTCTCATTTACAATTTTTAAATATGAGTTACTATTTTTTTCTTCTATCCATTTAGGTAATGGTGTATTCCAATTTTCTGGAGGTTTATCTCTCCTTTCCCAAACATCGTTATTATAATGATCTCTTAATCTGTTTAGTCTGCGTGTTTTTTCACTATTTATTAATTCATTCTGAAAATAATATGGTATTTCTTAAAGGATCAAAATTTTCATTATAAATCAACTTTTATAAAATATTTTTCAATTAATTCTTACATAAGCTTTTTTATTTTTATGTTCAGTCCATAAATTGCAATTTTTATAATCAATTTTCCATTGTTTACAATCTAGCATTTCTCCATATATAAAATACTGGTGGAAACGTCCTCTTATACTCCTACAATCACTGTATTCGTCTATGTACATTGCACATGGTTTGATCTACAATATTAAATCATTAAATACAAAGAAATTGTACACTGACATTTTTTTATATTTATGTTTAATTCTTCAATCTAATTATGATATAAAAAGAAAAACATATAATTATACCAGCCATTCGTCTTCTTCAGGTACATCATTTTCAACTGTGTTGTTAGGTTCGGGCATCTTGCTTATCTGTTTGGTTATGTAACTTCTTTCTTCTTTAATATAGCATATAATTACAACTTATAATATTTGTAGTCTAACATTAAAATAAGTGTAACTGTAATCAAACATTAAATAACAGAGTGAATTTTATACAATAACAAATCACTGATATTCTTTTCGCTTATTAAAACTAATTTTTGTCTTGGGTTTTAAATAACTTGTTCGATAAAATATTTTATGGCTAATATTAACATCTTGAATAGCATCGGATATTACACAACGTACATGACATATATAATTATTGACATTTGATTTCAATATTATATATAAAATAATTATGAAATGAAAAATATTACTGTAATTTGTATAGTTCTAAGAATTTATAATTTACCATTTTTCAATCTTATTAATGAAAGACAACTTCACCTTGTGAATTAGAAAATTACATATAGCAAATAATAGTAAGTTTCTTTTTCTTAATTAATAAAATTTCGTTTCAATAATCCTATTGTTTGCATAAAATTAAAATTTTATCGATATAAAAATAATGAACATCTTGAAATAGAATATTGACGCGTAGGAACACTTTGGGACAGTCTACATATGTACATAGTCAAAGCTTTAAGATTTTTCTTATATTAATTTTTATATTTTCCAACATCAATATTTTATTGCCAAATGTGTAATTTATAATTTAAATGTGTTTTTATTTTTATAACGCTATAGAATAAAAAATGTACTACATATGCATTTATTTATCTATTTGTGTCAGTGATGCTCATGTCAAGTAAACTTGCTAGATTATAGATTTTAGTGATTAGATTATAAATTTTAGCGATTTTTTAATGCTATTAAAAAATTTACTGCAAAATGTTATATACAAATGCAATTAAACGAATGAGATACTAGTTTCAGTTTTTTAAATATATATAAAAACTGCAGTTTGTCGATGAGTATCACTGGCTCCGCCATTCCTGTCAACTCTACCTATTGCCGCCGACCTATCGTCTTATCATTATCGTATTTCACGTTCTTAGCTCAAACTGAAAGCGTTTGCAATCTTGCTGTAGAAATTCTGTAATCGCCTGTCAGTTTTCTAACCTCTTTACCGACGAATGTCCTGGTGCTTTGTGTCTTGTTCAGTTAATAGTGACATATAATCGCGTAACTCGTAACATGATGTCGCGGTCTGTACGTGCAGAGACTCGTAGTCGTGCCAAGGATGATATTAAGCGTGTAATGCAAGTCGTTGACAAAGTTCGCCATTGGTAAATCTCTTAACATTTTATAGATGCACGAGGAAATATTGAAAAATTTTACAAAAAAAAAAAAAAAAAAAATTAAAAAAAATTTCTTCCTTGCGAGATTTAATAGAGATTTTGCATTACACATGTCAGCTGTAAACAGACTTTTGTAGTTCTGAAATGTTTCATGCGTGTTGATTGAGTAATAGTGTTGTATTTCTGCTTTTTTAATAACAGTAAAGAAGGTAGCTTCTCTGTCTGTTATTCGAATATTGATTTAAGGAACCATCAGTGCTTTTCATGCTGACACTTTTATAGGGAAAAAAAATGGGTTACGATAGGAGAAACTACTATGAAGATTTATAAATGGGTACCTATATCAACACTTGATCAGGTAAACAGAAGTACAACATCTATGTATAAATAAGAAATAAGAATTTATATTTTATTGCATAGAAAAAGAAGGGAAAGACAGTTGCAGACAAGGAAAATGGTTTGCCAAGAAAAAGTGGATTAGATTCATCAAACTCTAATTTTGGTCTTACGGAGGACTCAAATACATGTGAGTCAAATTTTAATAATTCACACATTTATTATTTTTTGAATGGTAAAATTTACAAAAGTTCTGTGATATCTATTAGGTTTTTCAACAGTTAGTGATTCTCAAGGATTAACTGACTTTTCTGCACATCTGGGATTTTCAGAAGATTCTAATTCACAAAATAGCGAACCAACACCTAAAAGGTTAAAGACTGATTAAAATTAGAGTATTTTGTGACTGTTACTTGGGATATAAGACATTTAAGAAATCATTTCTATCTTATATGAATCCACACATTATAAAATTATCTTAAATTATGAATCGTAAGTTTACAAGTTTGTTTCATTTTTTATTTTACTCTATATTTATTGGAAGTTTTTATGCATCAAAAAAAAAAAAGGAATTGTCATATCAATTAATCTAAGTTAAATATAATTTATTTTTTTATATAGTGAATTTTTTACAAAATAATATGGTTTTTATAAAATACACAGTAAATTAGACGGAAATATTAATGATGTTTCATTCAAACATTTGTATTACGTGTTCAGTTGTCTTAAGGTATGATTTAAAGAAAACTAAGAAATATTAAATTATTTGTATCATCGCAGTATTATTTAATTCATAAGATGCATAGCATTTCATTTATTTTCATGTAACATTTTAATTAACCAATTAACAAAACTCGACATAGTCTTATTAATGTAAAATAGATAATGGAACATTTGTTTTTGCTGTAAAATAATATCTCCAAAATACATGTATAATGCTACATTTATATTCAAGGTATTTATGTGTCTAAGCATAATCATATATTCAATATAATAATATTGATTATTGTACATATTTCAAATACTTTTTTTTGCAATTTTATAGTTTAGAACTTGCATTTCCTGAAGTTATGTTATAGCACCATGAAATGTACAAAATATGCTTTGACACTTACAAATAAAACAATACAACTCTAAATGTTTGATTTTATAATTACATAAGCTTTCAAAAAAATATAAAAATGTTTTAATGGAATTATCACTTAATCATTTTCATTTGTTCAGAAATAATTGTACTTAAAATGTATAATGTATAATGTTTAAGAATCTACATTCATTAAAAGGAATCAAAACAAAAAAAAAAATATTTCATTATATAGCTAATTATTATCATTTTTCTATGATAACTGTATATAGAAATTCTTGCCTATTATTTTAATATCTGTATGTTATGGATTATGTACAGAAAAATATCTGAATATAAAACAAAATTCAATGTCTTTTTTAATCTTTTTAACCTTTGATCTACATTATAACAAATGAAACCAAATCAGCTTTTAATATTTATGAAATCTTAAAATCTTTATATTAAATTAAATTATAAGTTGAATATACTTTTAGTTAACATTATACGTTAAGTATAATATTCAAGATTTTATTAGATAATGTATAAGTTGTTTATAACTTGTTCTATTCAATTGTTTTAAGATTTTAGATTTGTGATATTTTGTAAACATATTATATAATAAATTATGTTTGTGTTACACACAATCTTAAAAAAAGGGGAGTAATATTTATATGATTACTACTCTGATACAAATAGATTAATTGAGTATATTTTTAAAATTGTATCAAATGTAAATGATTAAGGATTAACTGTAAAATCTGTATAAAATTTTTATTTACCAAGGTAAAATTTTCCCATCATATTGAATAAAACAACCTGTATGTTTTTGAGTTAACAAATTTAATGTAGTCAAAATGTTAGTAACACTAGTATCAACATCTATGGGTGCATTGTTCCCTCCCATATCAGTACGAACCCAACCAGGATGTAAACAAGTAACAAGAATTCCATTCTCCTTTAAATCAATACTCATTGACTTTGTAGCTGCATTAAGTGCTGCCTAAAAATAACAAATATTAATAAAAAGTATACCTATTATAGGATAAGTATTGCATTATTCAATGTAATATAATATAAAACTAGCTCTTACGATAGAATATTTAGATTGAATGAAATAATTTTGTTGCAATATTTAATTATGTAGCTATAAATGAGAAATAAAAAAATAAACGGCCGCTAGCATAAACAGTGTTATAAAAATTTCGATGATTTTCCTAAACATAATTATTCTTGTATTCTTATTGTTTATATATTAAACAAATACAATATTCGTAAATAAATAGAAAAAGATAAATTTGAATTTTTCAATTATTTAATTTTATTCAAATTTAATATTTCTTAAAATTATTAATTATCTGCATTATTTGGCGATTCAAGAAATATTACCTTGCTACATCTATAAGGATAATATCCACCTTGATCATTGTCAGTAATACTCCCAAGAATTGAAGACATGTTAATAACTGCAGATCTATTAACATTCATTTCTGATTTGTTTGCAAAATTATCAGATGCTATTTTTAATAATGGTAAAACTGCCTAAAAATTTATAAATGCTTATTATTAGTTACAATTTATAACAACAAAAACAACATGCATTCAATATATGTATAATATAATTATATTATATATATGAGAAATAATATAATAATAAATAATAAGGATTAAATAATCTTAATAATTTTAACTAAATGCAACTTTTAAAAAAAATGTGTTTAAAAATTGCAATTTACCTTTGTTAATAAAATTGGTGCTACACTGTTTACAAAAAATGTTTCTGTAAGCTGTTCCTCTTTTACAAGATTAAGCCTTGTAAATTTTGGACTAACTCCGGCATTATTGAATAAAACATTTAATCCTGCATTGCCCACTTTTTCGCCCACGATTTGTACTATTTTATTGTAGTCTTTTGTATTGACCAAATCTTTAATTAAAAGGAGCAAAATGGGGATTCACATTAAAAATGCTGTATATTAAATCTATAAATGACATTGACTATTGACGTATGCTAGTACTTATATGCTATTTCATTTTTATACTGCAGTAACTAGTCAATAATTCACTAGTCTATAGGCATTTACTACTCTTATATTATTAATTGTACAAGATCCACATATTATATTGTTAATTGTATAAGATCCACAATTTTGTTCAATCTTACCAATATTAAATAAATATAATAACGACACTGGTAAGTCATAAAATTCTATTTTGTCATCTTCTCATTATTCATTTTATCATTTTCTTATCATAAAATTTTTCAATTCATTTCTCATATTTATTACCTTATGAAATTATGTTTTAATTATAGGAAATAAATATAATTTTATAAATTAGGATACATTATTTGATCAAAAATTTCATGTTAGTTTGTTATTTAAAATATCAATATTTCTTTATTCATGATTTTAATTCTTTAATTAAAGTGACATTTTCTAGTTCTATTTAATTTCAATTTTACTATATAAATCAATTTTATATTTTTTATGTAAAGAAATCAGTAAACTTTTTTATTGTTTTAATAGTGTAAAATGTTATTTCTTTTTTTATTATATTTAGTATATGAAATTTTTCATAAATTGATATTTTTCATTCATATAATTTATTTATTAAATAAATTAAGAAAATATTTCGTATTTTGGCTACAATGTCAAATAAAATTGTATAACTCTTATTATCAGATATCGCAAGTACGTATAAATATCGACCAGTACTTTCATGAAATTCATATTTCGTTAGAAACGACAGGAAATAGAAGCTACCAAGCATCTAGATTTTCGTTTTTCAAAATCTCAGCGAAAATTATTTTTTATTTTAGACATCATAAATGAAATCTCGTGAATCGAAAGTAAAGATATCGTGGTGTTTTAATTGTCGCAAGAAACCGCAAACCATGGACTCAGATTTAAGTGATCAAGAAACAGAAAATCATACAAAATATTTGGAAGAATTGGTGACAGAACAAAACATCGAAGGCAAGTCGAAAAATTCTTTTTTAATTTGTTGTTGCGATTCATAGATAATTCCATATTTTGTAAAGAATATCAATGATTTAATTTATTTGCACGTTTACAAAACATGTAAATTTCGTTGATTGTAAATATTATCTTTTTCTATTATTTTATAATAATATCAAAAATATATATATGAGTGATGATATATAATTGTATCTTTCGAAAGATCCAAGTTAGATTACTCGTGTAAATTTATCGATGACATACATATGTAAGTATACATATCTTTCTAATAAAAATGATAAGTATACATAACGTTGTACATAAGTATTTACATATTTTATTTTAATTATAGCTTTTATAGAAGAGAACATTTTTAATTATTTCTTACATTTTATTACGTTCAATATTTTATTTACACTTAAATAAAATCTTTTATTTCAATCGATTTTTAATTTAAGGTGATTTATTGTTTTTAAAATATAAAATAACCTTTCGTGTTTAATGGATTACATCGATAAAACCGGACAGTTAACATTTCCATTTTTTAAAACATTATTTCTAGTTTTAACATATAATCAACATTTTTATATTTCAAAATATCGTTTTATAAAAAATGAATGCCATTACTAAATTAGCTAACTTAACGAAATAATTTTTTTTGTTTTAATTAGCGATTAAACATAACAGTTAGAAAACAATGTATATTACATGTATATTAAATATATGTATTACTACATTGTCTATCAGAAATTGCAAAAATTATCTAAATTTCTAAATTAATCTAAAACAATTTTATTTTACAAATTCTTTCATAAATTATGAAAAAAATAGTGAAACATAGATTAGATTACATTTTCTGATAAAATAAAATCTATTTGAAATTGCACAATGATTACATACCTATCTCGATGATATGAACGTTTTCTGATTTCTCAGCCAATATAGTCAATTCCTAAAAGAAAACATAATTTGAAAATATATTTAAAACGAAATTGTATGGTAAAAATCTCCTAAGTTATGACAATTGTTATCTTTTTAACAAATCGCAGTTCTTGAATCTTAGTAATTATTGCAGCAAGATTAATTCACGAATTATTCGAGAAGAATCGCATCAATAATATCTTTGATAATACGAATTTCTCGTACGAAGGATTTACGAAATGTCTTACGTTATAGAATTATAAAATTTCATACAGCTTTTGAAAATTTTCATTGATGATTGTCTGGATTTCTTGAAATTTCGAGTGAGATATCTTTTTTTCAAAAAACCGGTCTCTAAAGTTCGTTTTATAACAAAATCAAGAGTGACTTGCATGTTCTGTATTTTTTGCGTAATTCCTTAACGCGTGAGTCACTATAAATCAGACTTAAAACTCATGCGCCTGTAGCAACTATATAACAGATGGCGGTAAACGAACCAAGTAGGCGTCAGTTCGTTCTTGTGTTTTAGACGTGAGGACGTAAGAAATTGTTCGGCTAGATACGATAGCTAACGGAGACCTAACGTTCTCCAAAAAGGAAAACCATTACATTTTACATTCCTCTGTAACATTTCAAACCGGTAAAGCGCAACGATGGCACCTATTGGTAAGTAGAGTTATAGCTCGAATCGGTTATTGCATAATTTTTTATTTTTTCTTCACTTCGTGACCAATCTTACCTTTGCTTTATTCGCGTCTCGGCAAGTTGCGAAGATATTCTCCGGTGGTTCTGACAATTTTACCAGGTGTTTCACTAGACCCAGACCAAGTCCACGATTGCAACCAGTGATTAAGATAGACCTCATTTCGTATCGTGACTTTCTTTCGGGATATATTTTTTCCGCTTATGTCGTTGCTCGAACACGCTGTACCTCGTGAAAAATTTTATCATATATTCTGAAACACGAGTGTCATCAGGGTGACGTCACGTGGCCGTGATCGGCTGGCAATAATCATGGCGACGTTAACGCTGCTCGCGAGGATTGTCACATTCCGTTCCGCTCACGCAAAATTGCTCGAGTTCTCATGGCCTAGATGTAATGCTTTTCCTTATGGAAGAACAACAATGGCTTGCATGTGCTGTGAGTGTCAGGATTCCATGATTTGTAATTGTGAACACGCCTTGATTTTATTGACATTGCGTAAAATCTATGTATACCGTTGACAATCTGTTATTAGACCGGTCAGGTTAAAAATAGTTGGATTTATAATTCACGATTCAATAATTTGTTTGTCAGCTCCATTAATGTGTACGTAATTTAATTGGTAGTTTTATTTGCGAATATTACCTTATCAAGGTAAGGTAGTTTCAGTTTAGTAATAATACAAGTGTTGCATAACCTTATTCTCATGATCATATAGTTTTTATACAACTGGAAAATTTAGATATATTTAAATTCTTGAGATATGCTCAAATATACAAATATTTTGCAATAATCAATATTGAAAATTCGAGTATTGTTCATTTTATTGGGAATTTATTGGTTATGTTTGCAGCTGATCAAAAATTCATGTACGATCTACTTGTTATTGGCGGTGGATCAGGAGGTTTAGCAGCAGCCAAAGAAGCAGTGAATTTAGGTGCAAAAGTTGCAGTTCTAGATTTTGTCACACCATCTCCAAGAGGTACTACTTGGGGCTTAGGTGGCACTTGTGTAAATGTTGGTTGCATACCAAAAAAGTTAATGCATCAAGCTGCTTTGTTAGGAGAAGCAATCCATGTGTGTTTCTTTATTAATAAATTAATTATATTTTATTATTTAAGAAAACATTAAGAGAATATTAAAATTTTTTGTTTTTAGGAATCAGCAGCTTATGGTTGGCAGGTACCAGATCCAAAGACCATTAAGAATGACTGGCAAGCATTAACAACAGCAGTACAAAATCATATAAAATCTGTGAACTGGGTTACTCGAGTAGAGCTTAGAACAAAGTTAACATCAATCTTTATTTCTTAGTCTATTTTTATACTTCTTAAGTATAAAATTCACTTTTATTAATTTACTTATTCTTTTTGTTATTGCAGGAAAATCGAATACTTCAATGCACTTGGTTATTTTAAAGATGAACATACGATATGCGGGAAGATGAAAAATGGAGAAGAAAAATTGTTCACGGCAAAGAATATCTTGATTGCTGTGGGTGGTAGGCCAAGGTATCCTGATATTCCTGGTGCTTTAGAACATGGTATAAGCAGTGATGATATCTTTAGTTTGAAGAAAGCTCCAGGGAAAACGCTTGTTATTGGTGCAGGATGTATCCTTTTTTTTTAATAATTATAAAAATGTTCTAAATTTTTTCCTGCCAATCAATTTTGAAATAATTTTATATGAAATAATGTTTCATTTTCCTCAATGAATGAATGAACAGATATCGGTTTGGAGTGCGCTGGTTTTTTGAATAGTTTAGGTTATGATGCAACTGTAATAGTACGTTCGATTGTGTTACGAGGATTTGATCAGCAAATGGCTAATACTGTTGCTCAAGAAATGGAGGGACGTGGTGTACATTTTATTTATCAAGCTAAGCCATCGAAAATTGAAAAGCAAAGCGATGGTCGACTTATTGTACATTGGGTAGATAAGGTACGTTTCATTTTATTAAATATGATGTATAATTAATATTTGAATTATATTTTCATAGAAATGAATTCTTTATTTTAGGAAAGACAAACGCATCAAGATATTTTCGATACTGTTCTCTTCGCTATTGGCCGCAAACCGCTTACAGAAGAATTAAAACCAGAAAACATTGGCCTTCAACTTATTCCTGAAACTGCAAAAATAGATGCAATAGATGAACAAACGAATATTAAAAATGTGTATGCTGTTGGTGATGTGCTTCATGTGAGTTTTAAATTTTGACTTTTCGCTTTTAGAAAAAGATTCTTTTTCTCAGATGTGAAAGATTAAAATAAGATAAATAGTTATTTATAATTTTTATTATGTATTATAGAAAAAGCCAGAACTAACCCCTGTTGCCATACATGCGGGTCGATTATTAGCAAGAAGATTGTTCGGAAACTCAACGGAACAAATGGACTACGTAAACGTAGCGACAACAGTATTCAGTCCTCTAGAATATGGTTCTGTTGGTCTCAGCGAAGAAGCTGCGATTGCTATTCATGGAGAAGACAAAATAGAAATTTACCATGCATATTATAAACCAACGGAATTCTTCATCCCACAGAAAGATGTTTCTAATTGCTATATAAAAGTAGTTGCATTTAGAAACGGTGATCAAAGAGTGCTTGGTATGCATTTTATTGGTCCCAATGCTGGTGAAGTAATCCAAGGTTTTGCCGCTGCTATTAAGTATGTATTTATTTAGTTATTTGTTATATCAATAATACATTATTTTATTATTACTTTTGATTTCAAATATTATTTGATTATTTTTTCAGATGTAACTTAACATTCCCAAAACTAAAGGATACAGTTGGAATTCATCCAACGGTAGCAGAAGAGTTTACACGTATATCTGTAACCAAACGTTCTGGACTCGATCCTAAGCCACAAAGCTGCTGCAGTTAAAATATACGTATTATTAGATTTGTTACATTGCTAATATTTGTGGATATTTCAAAGTATGATAGACGATAAACCTTTTTTATGCTATTGCATTGATCATTGGGTCTGGAATTAATTTTCTGAGCGGAATTCCATTAACGGGGATATATTTTTTATGAAGCACAAGTAGGAGAGAATTTTTAAAATATTACATTTATAATATGAAATTACAAACCATTGTACCATATGAAAAATTTGCTTCTTTGAAGTACTAGGGATTGATGCAACCTGTTAAATCAAGGAAATAACCTGTATTGTTATACTTATAGTAATTTTTATAAATACAATATTTTCAGATTAGTATATCCTCTGTATACACATTCGACTTAAAGTCGACGAAATAAAAATAATGTGAATATACATATATTGTTTTAATTTAATTAACAAGTAAAATAATTGATAACTTCAATAAGTTTTGTTTCAATAAGTATTGTTTTTATTTTATCGATTCATCATCGTGCTATACGAGTTGTGAGATTGCTCAAAAATATGTCTTGAGTATTTCTTCAACTTCAATTATATATGATCATTTTTTTACTCTCAGGTATTTGTGATGCAATTGCACGTAATAATACATGAAGATGGAAGATGAGTTACACTGTCACGTGTTGAAGTTAATTTAAAATATAATGTATGATGTTTTTTTTTTCTACATTTGTGATCTTACTATGTAATGTTTTTTACACGTGGCTTTTCCTTTTAAAGCATTTGCTTATTTATCACCTCAGATTAATAAGCAAATGAGACAGCAGAGATTTATATTTTTATTAGAAGTTCAAAGTTATATCCATAATGATTGTTTAATAATAACTTAAATATATAACATGCTATATACATGCAAAACACTGTTAAGAAAATCACTTGCTAATTTCAGATCATAAATTGAAAACTTTTAAACACGAATCAATTAAAATGGCTACAAATGTTTTAACATCATCGCTCTCGAAGGAATCTACAGATTCTGATGAGAATGGAAAAGAGATCAAGATAAAAACGTTTAACAGAAAGGAAGAAATTGATTTTAATCTCTGTCCTTTCGTAAGCGATGCATTTATTTTCATTTATCGTTTTTAGAAATGTCAAACTAGTATATATACATATATACACAATTATGTTATTGGTTGTAAGTTCTAATTAATAATTCATGCATATATTGAACATAAATGTTTAAAACTTTTTGAAAGAGTTCTTAATATATGATATATGTATATTTCAAATGATTCAAGACATTCTTAATTATACGCATGTACATAAAAATATACATATTACGAGAAATTGTATCTGAGCCTACTATTTCTCTAAATACAGAAACTGTTATGGTCCTTCGGAATAAATTCAGTTACACCTTTAATAAATTTAGCCACGAAAAATCGAACGATCATCGCTTATGCTTGTTCACATATTGTAATAATCTACAACTATGAAACTAGAGAGGCAATAAATCTCCAAGGCCATGTATATATTTTTCTTTATCTATTGTATTTATATTTTATGTTTTATTACATTTTATTGTTTATAAGCTAATTTTCTAAATACAG